TTAGGGGTTTTTGGGGTTTGGGGGCTTGGAGTTCTAAAGCTTCGGGTTAGGGTTTAGAGTTTAGGGTTGCTTCCTTCTGCACTGCTCACAGATGCTCTCTGAGTAGTCTCAGAACTCACAGAGCGCATCGCCCGCCATGTCGTCCGAGAGCTCGGCGAAGCAGCCCTCGCAGCACACCTGTATTGCGATGTGCTATAATATGGTGTAATATAATATAACACACTATAATTTAACAAAATGTGGTACAAGACACCTGCGCTCTGGGGCCCTCTTTGGCTTGAGTCTTCGCTTGCGCCTGCCAGCAGGAAGCCCGTCCATGACAACAGGGGCTTAGAGGGGGTTTTGGTTGGGTTTAATGTAGGGGAAATAATTAGAATAGAGTGTTGGGGTACCTGTTGTCTACTTGTAACAAGGAACCCTAAGGAACAATATTGATGATTATTAGGGCTCCGATTACGGTTTAGGGCTGAGCTTGCGGGAAGGAAAGATTCGACCCTACCCTACTTCTTGATGATGACGAGGGTGATGAAAGAATGATGATGAGAACGATCGCAACCGTCATGCTGAAGACGAAGATGCTGATGCTGATGCTGATGCTGATGCTGATGCTGATGCTGATGCTGATGCTGATGCTGATGCTGATGCTGATGCTGATGCTGACACTGATAATGATGATGATGATGACACTGATGATGATGATGATGATGATGATGACGCTGATGGTGATGATGATGATGATGATGATGACGATGGGAGTGATGATGAGCGCTGATGATGAGGATGATGTTGAGGGTGATGATGATGATGAAGATGATGATGATGAAGATGATGATGATGATGATGATAATGAGGATGATGATGATGGTGATGATGATGAGGATGATGATGATGGTGATGATGATGATGATGATGGCATGAGGATGAGGAGGGGGAGGAGGAGGCGGAGGAGGAGGGTGATGGTGATGAATCAAGGAGCAACCGGCAAAGGATGATACTGCTGCAAGAGGTTGGAGGTGGTTGAAGCTTGTGAAGATGGGATTAAGACTGACAGTTTGGTGAATGCTGCTTCGCATGTGTTTACTAAGTTACACTTGAAGTTTGCACAATGAAGGAGCCGAGTCGTCCTTGTTAGAAACCCAACATCCTTGCTTCAGGATCGGGTCTACCGACCTGGCTTCGGAACCTCAGTGAGAGCTTTGATCCTGCAGCTGAGTGACGACGAGAATCCAGGCCCAGATCGCGAAGCCGATGTTGGTCAAGATGAACATAATACCGATGAACCTGGGACACGGCAGAGTCGTGACTTCTGGCCTGCAGGCCACCTGAACGGTTTAGGGTTTAGGGTTTCGGGGTTGAGGGAACACAACAAGTTGGCCTTCCGTCAGCTTCAATTATGTTGAGCAGAAGCAAGCACCAGAGTGACTGATAGAGGCCCTATGCACTTCTCCCGTCTATTTTCAGAAGTAGATGTCTCGTGCTGTCAATAACAGCACCAGTGGTTTGGATTGGCTTTAGGCCATGCTACATTGATGCAAGAACTATCCCACGTACCCTACGCAGCCCGCTCATGCTAGTATGCAGTGCTATAAGATGTCGCAATAGATCCTTTTCATGATATTCCGCGAAGCATGTTCAGGCTTTTCTCCTCCG